TGGGGGGGGGTGTTAGGTGGCTAACACCAAGGCTGGTTAGTGGGGGGGGTGTTAGATGGCTAACACCAGGGTTGGTTAGTGGGGGGGGGTGTTAGGGTGCTAACACCAGGGTTGATTAGTGGGGGGGGGTGTTAGGTGGTTAACACCAGGGTTGGTTAGTGGGGGGGGATGTTAGGTGGCTAACACCAGGGTTGGTTAGTGGGGGGGGTGTTAGGTGGCTAACACCAGGGTTGGTTAGTGGGGGGGTGTTAGGTGGCTAACACCAGGGTTGGTTAGTGGGGGGGTGTTAGGTGGCTAACACCAGGGTTGGTTAGTGGGGGGGTGTTAGGTGGCTAACACCAGGGTTGGTTAGTCGGGGGGGGTGTTAGGTGGCTAACACCAGGGTTGGTTAGTGGGGGGGGATGTTAGGTGGCTAACACCAGGGTTGGTTAGTGGGGGGGGGGTGTTAGGTGGCTTACACCAGGGTTGGTTAGTGGGGGGGGTGTTAGGTGGCTAACACCAGGGTTGATTAGTGGGGGGGGGTGTTAGGTGGCTAACACCAGGGTTGGTTAGTGGGGGGGGATGTTAGGTGGCTAACACCAGGGTTGGTTAGTGGGGGGGGGGATGTTAGGTGGCTAACACCAGGGTTGGTTAGTGGGGGGGGGATGTTAGGTGGCTAACACCAGGGTTGATTAGTGGGGGGGGGGGTGTTAGGTGGCTAACACCAGGGTTGGTTAGTGGGGGGGGGATGTTAGGTGGCTAACACCAAGGTTGGTTAGTGGGGGGGATGTTAGGTGGCTAACACCAGGGTTGGTTAGTGGGGGGGGGGTGTTAGGTGGCTAACACCAGGGTTGGTTAGTGGGGGGGGTGTTAGGTGGCTAACACCAGGGTTGATTAGTGGGGGGGGTGTTAGGTGGCTAACTCCAGGGTTGGTTAGTGGGGGGGGGTGTTAGGTGGCTAACTCCAGGGTTGGTTAGTGGGGTGGTGTTAGGTGGCTAACACCAGGGTTGGTTAGTGGGTGGCGGTGCATTAGAGTAACAGTGGTTGAAGGGCCGTTACATGTTACATCAGTGAGACGTTATCACATCAGTGAGACGTTATCACATCAGTGAGACGTTATCACATCAGTGAGACGTTATCACATCAGTGAGACGTTATCACATCAGTGAGACGTTATCACATCAGTGAGACGTTATCACATCAGTGAGACGTTATCACATCAGTGAGACGTTATCACATCAGTGAGACGTTATCACATCAGTGAGACGTTAACACATCAGTGAGACGTTATCACATCAGTGAGACGTTAACACATCAGTGAGACGTTATCACATCAGTGAGACGTTATCACATCAGTGAGACGTTATCACATCAGTGAGACGTTATCACATCAGTGAGACGTTATCACATCAGTGAGACGTTAACATATCAGTGAGACGTTATCACATCAGTGAGACGTTATCACATCAGTGAGACGTTATCACATCAGTGAGACGTTAACACATCAGTGAGACGTTATCACATCAGTGAGACGTTAACACATCAGTGAGACGTTATCACATCAGTGAGACGTTATCACATCAGTGAGACGTTAACACATCAGTGAGACGTTATCACATCAGTGAGACGTTAACACATCAGTGAGACGTTATCACATCAGTGAGACGTTATCACATCAGTGAGACGTTATCACATCAGTGAGACGTTATCACATCAGTGAGACGTTATCACATCAGTGAGACGTTATCACATCAGTGAGACGTTATCACATCAGTGAGACGTTATCACATCAGTGAGACGTTAACACATCAGTGAGACGTTATCACATCAGTGAGACGTTAACACATCAGTGAGACGTTATCACATCAGTGAGACGTTATCACATCAGTGAGACGTTATCACATCAGTGAGACGTTATCACATCAGTGAGACGTTATCACATCAGTGAGACGTTATCACATCAGTGAGACGTTATCACATCAGTGAGACGTTATCACATCAGTGAGACGTTATCACATCAGTGAGACGTTATCGCATCAGTGAGACGTTATCACATCAGTGAGACGTTATCGCATCAGTGAGACGTTATCACATCAGTGAGACGTTAACACATCAGTGAGACGTTATCACATCAGTGAGACGTTAACACATCAGTGAGACGTTATCACATCAGTGAGACGTTAACACATCAGTGAGACGTTATCACATCAGTGAGACGTTATCACATCAGTGAGACGTTATCACATCAGTGAGACGTTATCACATCAGTGAGACGTTATCACATCAGTGAGACGTTATCACATCAGTGAGACGTTATCACATCAGTGAGACGTTATCACATCAGTGAGACACCGTACAGTGTTGTGGCCGCCCACACGAGTATGGCGCCAAATTCCAGTCTCCAGCTGTGGCAAGAATAACCCATGAAGCAGACTTGTGCTTGAAGCGATCTGCGTAAGAGGTCGAGGGGGGATGGGGATAGACGTTGGGAAGTAGGTGATGCAAAACTGGGTTTACGTCTCAAGTCATACTAGCTGCTTCTTGGACGGGATTAGGTTGAGCTAGTTATGATAGTGGAGGGCTGAGGTGTTGGTCGAACGACAGTGTGTGAATGTGTCTAACGAGGCAACTACCTACACGATATGTAACAACTCTTGTATATATCTCAAAAATATACAGAGCTAGAAACAGGGGGGAAAGAGAATTATATGGTGTATGACATGGGCATTAGCTAACCTACGAAGGAAGATTTATGTAGGCATTGAGGCTGCATTACTTGAAAGCCGTAGAACGAGGCGAGATTCAATTGCAAATATGCAACATGAGGATAGAAATCGTAGCGATGTATTCAAATTGATCTTGAGAGTTAACGAGAACTGTAAACACAGCTTTGGTAGAAGGGTTGCAGAGTGGAACAAGCCGCCAGGAAGCATTGGTGTAGCAAAATGGATGAAATGTCATCCAAATGGTAGGCCTATGTATGCGAAAATAACTGAATGGAAGAAGATGGGATATATCTCTCTCTCTCTCTCTCTCTCTCTCTCTCTCTCTCTCTCTCTCTCTCTCTCTCTCTCTCTCTCTCTGTGTGTGTGTTCAGTAGGCCAACTGCAGCGATCCTCTCTCCGTGTTCTGATAATTGTATGCAAGGATGGGTTGAGTGCAATCAACCTAATCACCAGAACGTTTGTGGTATAACCACAACTACCAGGACCCTAGAGGGGGGGCATTAAGAAGACTACCTAGACAAGGTATTAACTAGGCATTAACACAGCTACTTAGACTTGGAAGGCATTTACCGGCTATGTAGACAACGAAGGCATTAACTGGGTATCTTGACTAGGGAGGCATTAAATAGCTGCTGTGACCTAGGTGACAAAAAAAACTTGCAAGGACTTGGTAGCATAATCAAAGCTTCCAGGACTTGGTAGCATAATCAAAGCTTCCAGGACTTGGTTGCATAATCAAAGCTTCCAGGACTTGGTAGCATAATCAAAGCTTCCTAGACTTGGTAGCATAATCAAAGCTTCCAGGACTTGGTAACATAATCAAAGCTTCCAGGACTTGGTAGCATAATCAAAGCTTCCAGGACTTGGTAGCATAATCAAAGCTTCCTGGACTTGGTAGCATAATCAAAGCTTCCAGGACTTGGTAGCATAATCAAAGCTTCCTGGACTTGGTGGCATCCACACAGCCCCATTTATTTTAGTGATAAAGAACAACTGTATTTAGAATAATAGATCTCCTCTGAGGTTGAACAAAATAGGCGATGAAAGGGGGAAGAGTTACACAAGTCTGGGACAAGTGAATTAAGAACAGTGAGGTTTATGATGATATGAAGAGTGTAGAGTAGGTGCGAATAATGAGTGACTTAGACTTGTGTGAGTGTGGGAGAGGTACTCACCTAATTGTGCTTGCGGGGGTTGAGCTTTGGCTCTTTGGTCCCGCCTCTCAACTGTCAATCAACAGGTGTACAGATTCCTGAGCCTACTGGGCTCTTATCATATCTACATTTGAAACTGTGTATGGAGTCAGCCGCCACCACATCACTGCCTAAAGCATTCCTTTTATTAACTACTCTGACACTGAAAAAATTCTTTTTAACGCCTCTAACGTCTCAGGTGTTGAAGTATTGTGGTGGGAGTGGGATTCCGTACTACTGCTGGACGAAGTTGTATGTGAATGAATTAGTCGTGTAAGTCTTGTACAATTCCATAGTTTAAGAGGCCAAAATGGGTGTGGTTTCTGTATTTCATGTGGTGTGCACCGTGCGTCAACGTAGATTGAAGTTGGTGAAAAAACTCGCATTTAGTGATACAGAATTATATTTTCACTAGAACTATGTTATAAATCTTTTGCAATCATTCGCCAGCTGTGGTCAGATATATTGTACTGCTCACACCGCACCTTATTTTGTATTGTACTCGAGCCATTGAGTACACTCTATCGATCATACTTTATGATGCTCCAGTCATTGGTTATAATCCCTCTGGCTACTATTTCAGTGCTGTAACCAAACATACTGTAACAGAACGGAACTATCGGGGTGGGGGTGGGGGGGGGGGGGAAGCGCAAAGCCATTACGACTATATAGCACTTGGAAGGGATCAGGATAAGGATTTGGGATGGGACGGGGGGTGGGGGTGGGGGGGGGGGAGGAAAGGAATGGTTTTCAACGACTTGGACGGTCGGGGATTGAACGCCGACCTACATGAAGCGAGACCGTCGCTCTACCGTCCAGTCCAAGTGGTTGGCTAAACATAATGTAAGCACTGTATAAAATTAGACAGGAATATCTTTTGATATTTTCCAAGCTTAGTTGGTGCCAGGGGTTCGGGGTTGTCCTGATCTGCTGTGTTGAAGGGACGAGGGTCTCTGCCGCTTGCTTGAACTTTCTGTTGGGTCTTGAAGCCAGGCACAGTACCCTTCTCCACTCCCTAACGTGTGGAAATATCCCGGAGCGTCCAGCTACTCCACTACACCAAGGTACTTGATCTGTGCTTTAGTGAAGAGTGAACTAACTCTATCTATCAACTGTATATTAGTGCCTGCCTAGCCACAACGTTACAACTGATATCCTAACAATCTTTCATTTAACATGTGTGAGTGTGTATCAAACACCTAAGAGACATTTACACTAAAACAAAGTAGTCATGCGAGACAGCCTTTCAGACGTTTGCCACGCAAACTGTGGGCAATATTGTGCTGCTTAACTTCCATCGGTGAGGCGTGTCGTATCCACCACTGTCTCACTATCACCTGTATGTGACCCCCGGATGGACGCTAATCCACTCTGGGTTGGGGTGGGGGTCTTCTTATAAGCCAAAGCCATCTACCACATCCTATATCCAGTATCTAGTGGAGAAAATTCTAGCACGAGCGCAGTCACAGGATGATGGTTTGAGTAGTGGGGCGAGTCCACCATGATGAGTGGTCCCACCAGACTAGGAGGGGGTTGATGGGGGTGTGTGAGGGTGTGTTAGGGGGGTGACCCTGGCCGGCCGGCCGGCTGGCTGGCTATAGCTGCTCCCTCACACAAACTCGATGGAGTAGTCGGCGCTGAAGCCCTTGATGTCGACGGCGTACTTGTTGTCGGCCTGACACTCGTAGAAGCCGGCGTCCATCTGGGTGGCCGGGTCGATCTCCATCTTGCTCTTGATCTCTCCCTTGCCTTCCTTCCACTCGTGCAGCTGAAAACATACGTCTCATTACTCCTCAGGTTTATACATATACGTGCGTGTCTTATAGGCTACAGTGAAGTGTTGAATCTGGTTACTTTGTAAATATAAGGACAAAATATTCCCCTCATGTAACATGTAAATTGTATATGTACAGGGCCCTTTTCCTGGGCCCAGAGCCCTTTTCCTGGGCCCAGAGCCCTTTTCCTGGGCCCAGAGCCCTTTTCCTGGGCCCAGAGCCCTTCTCCTGGGCCCAGAGCCCTTCTCCTGGGCCCAGAGCCCTTCTCCTGGCCCACAGCCCTTCTCCTTGGCCCCAGAGCCCTTCTCCTGGCCCAGAGCCCTTCTCCTGGCCCAGAGCCCTTCTCCTGGCCCAGAGCCCTTCTCCTGGGCCCAGAGCCCTTCTCCTGGGCCCAGAGCCCTTCTCCTGGCCCACAGCCCTTCTCCTTGGCCCCAGAGCCCTTCTCCTGGCCCACAGCCCTTCTCCTGGCCCAGAGCCCTTCTCCTGGGCCCAGAGCCCTTCTCCTGGGCACAGAGCCCTTCTCCCTGGGCCCAGAGCCCTTCTCCTGGGCCCAGAGCCCTTCTCCTGGGCCCAGAGCCCTTCTCCTGGGCCCAGAGCCCTTCTCTTGGGCCCAGAGCCCTTCTCCTGGGCACAGAGCCCTTCTCCCTGGGCCCAGAGCCCTTCTCCTGGCCCAGAGCCCTTCTCCCTGGGCCCAGAGCCCTTCTCCCTGGGCCCAGAGCCCTTCTCCTGGGCCCAGAGCCCTTCTCCTGGCCCACAGCCCTTCTCCTTGGCCCCAGAGCCCTTCTCCTGGCCCAGAGCCCTTCTCCTGGCCCAGAGCCCTTCTCCTGGCCCAGAGCCCTTCTCCTGGGCCCAGAGCCCTTCTCCTGGGCCCAGAGCCCTTCTCCTGGCCCACAGCCCTTCTCCTTGGCCCCAGAGCCCTTCTCCTGGCCCACAGCCCTTCTCCTGGCCCAGAGCCCTTCTCCTGGGCCCAGAGCCCTTCTCCTGGGCACAGAGCCCTTCTCCCTGGGCCCAGAGCCCTTCTCCTGGGCCCAGAGCCCTTCTCCTGGGCCCAGAGCCCTTCTCCTGGGCCCAGAGCCCTTCTCTTGGGCCCAGAGCCCTTCTCCTGGGCCCAGAGCCCTTCTCCTGGGCCCAGAGCCCTTCTCCTGGGCCCAGAGCCCTTCTCCTGGGCCCAGAGCCCTTCTTCCTGGGCCCAGAGCCCTTCTCCTGGGCTCAGAGCCCTTCTCCTGGGCCCAGAGCCCTTCTCCTGGCCCAGAGCCCTTCTCCTGGGCCCAGAGCCCTTCTCCTGGCCCAGAGCCCTTCTCCTGGCCCAGAGCCCTTCTCCTGGCCCAGAGCCCTTCTCCTGGCCCAGAGCCCTTCTCCTGGGCCCAGAGCCCTTCTCTTGGGCCTAGAGCCCTTCTCCCTGGGCCCAGAGCCCTTCTCCTGGGCCCAGAGCCCTTCTCCTGGGCCCAGAGCCCTTCTCCTGGGCCCAGAGCCCTTCTCCTGGGCCCAGAGCCCTTCTTCCTGGGCCCAGAGCCCTTCTCCTGGGCTCAGAGCCCTTCTCCTGGGCCCAGAGCCCTTCTCCTGGCCCAGAGCCCTTCTCCTGGGCCCAGAGCCCTTCTCCTGGGCCCAGAGCCCTTCTTCCTGGGCCCAGAGCCCTTCTCCTGGGCCCAGAGCCCTTCTCCTGGGCTCAGAGCCCTTCTCCTGGGCCCAGAGCCCTTCTCCTGGCCCAGAGCCCTTCTCCTGGGCCCAGAGCCCTTCTCCTGGGCCCAGAGCCCTTCTTCCTGGGCCCAGAGCCCTTCTCCCTGGGCCCAGAGCCCTTCTCCTGGGCCCAGAGCCCTTCTCCCTGGGCCCAGAGCCCTTCTCCTGGGCCCAGAGCCCTTCTCCTGTGCCCAGAGCCCTTCTCCTGGGCCCAGTGCCCTTCTCCTGGGCCCAGAGCCCTTCTCCCTGGGCCCAGAGCCCTTCTCCTGGGCCCAGAGCCCTTCTCCCTGGGCCCAGAGCCCTTCTCCCTGGGCCCAGAGCCCTTCTCCTGGGCCCAGAGCCCTTCTCCCTGGGCCCAGAGCCCTTCTTCCTGGGCCCAGAGCCCTTCTCCTGGGCCCAGAGCCCTTCTCCTGGGCCCAGAGCCCTTCTCCTGGGCCCAGAGCTCTTCTCCTGGGCCCAGAGCCCTTCTCCTGGGCCCAGAGCCCTTCTCCTGGGCCCAGAGCCCTTCTCCTGGGCCCAGAGCCCTTCTCCTGGGCCCAGAGCTCTTCTCCTGGGCCCAGAGCCCTTCTCCTGGGCCCATAAGAAAGGATAGAAGAGTACGAAGCTGCTATCCTGCAGGAATGATCCCCCGTGGTCAGGTTAGGCCACCGGGACCCATCCCTCTTCTGTCTTACTGTTCGTCTTAGGGAGGTCGAGCCCAAATTTGTGAACATACGGTAAGATGATTGCGTTCGTGAGACTAGTTCGTGACCTCGTTCGTGAGACTGGTTCGTGACCTCGTTCGTGAGACTGGTTCGTGACCTCGTTCGTGAGACTAGTTCGTGACCTCGTTCGTGAGACTGGTTCGTGACCTCGTTCGTGAGACTGGTTCGTGACCTCGTTCGTGAGACTGGTTCGTGACCTCGTTCGTGAGACTGGTTCGTGACCTCGTTCGTGAGACTAGTTCGTGACCTCGTTCGTGAGACGTGAGTTCGTGACCTCGTTCGTGAGACTGGTTCGTGACCTCGTTCGTGAGACTGGTTCGTGACCTCGTTCGTGAGACTGGTTCGTGACCTCGTTCGTGAGACTAGTTCGTGACCTCGTTCGTGAGACAGGTTCGTGACCTCGTTCGTGAGACTAGTTCGTGACCTCGTTCGTGAGACTGGTTCGTGACCTCGTTCGTGAGACTAGTTCGTGACCTCCTTCGTGAGACTAGTTCGTGACCTCGTTCTTGCAACGTCAGATAAATTATTTACTGATCCTTATTTTCCCTGACGGCTGACAGCTGAGTGGACAGCGCTTCGGATTCGTAGCCCTGAGGTTCCGGGTTCGATCCCCGGTGGAGGCGGAGACAAATGGGCAAAATGTTTTTTTTTTTTCGCACTGATGCTCCTGTTACCTAGCAGTAAATAGGTACCTGGGAGTTAGACAGCTGCTACGGGCTGCTTCCTGGGGTGTGTGTGTGTAACAAAAAAAAAAATGAGTCCTGGTCGAGAACCGGACCGCGGGGACGCTAAGCCCCGAAATCATCTCACGATAATCTCAAGATAACCATCCCTAAAATGGAATGAGTTACGGTGTCACTTCACGTGTCACTTGCGAAACTGTCTCGTCAACAAGAATAAAACAGTTCCTGTTAATATTTGCTTCTCGATATTACGCGTTAATACATTTTTAATTGTGATCTGCTCCGCTTAATTGTATTAATTTAATATTTTTAATTTGTATTCCGCTCTGGCGTTTGAAATCCAATTTTCCTGCTTTTAGCGTCCAGCAAAAATGTGACGTTTTTTAAGTTATTGTGGTGTTTGGGTTATCTTGAGGTTATCTTGAGGTTATCTTGAGGTTATCTTGAGGTTATCTTGAGGTTATTTTGAGGTTATCTTGAGGTTATCTTGAGGTTATCTTGAGGTTATCTTGAGATGATTTCGGGGCTTTTTAGTGTCCCCGCGGCCCTGTCCTCGACCAGGCCTCCACCCCCCAGGAAGCAGCCCGTGACAGCTGACTAACACCCAGGTACCTATTTTACTGCTAGGTAACAGGGGCATAGGGTGAAAGAAACTCTGCCCAATGTTTCTCGCAGGCGCCTGGGATCGAACCCAAGACCACAGGATCACAAGTCCAGTGTGCTCTCCGCTCGGCCGACCGGCTCCCCTCGCCTGGGGGAGTAAGTTTATATAGGCACGTGACTGGCGTCGCCAAACTGGTATATAATATTTGTATAAAATATATAATATATAATATATAATATAATTATATAATATATAATATAATACTTGTATAAAATATGGTTCATTTATAATTCTGTTTCAGTTTCTAAAATCTGTTATTATGGCTCTTGAATGTCTCGGATAATTTTGATGGAAGATTTTGACTGCAGCTTCGTTTTATATTTATGCGGTAATTATAAATTATAAATTTTGGTTCGTACTAGGCCACATGGATGAAGAGTTTTCTTGAGGAGCTATTTAGTTTTAGCTATTTCTCAGTGCCTATTGCATAAGACAAGTGTAAGATTGGGATCGTCTTGATGTGTTTGGGTAACGTTAATAATTCTGACTCGATCTCTTCAAAGGATCTCTCATCTGGTTAAAGATTCTGAGACTTGATGAAACATTCGTTGAGTTTCATATGATCTGAAGAGCCCATCATCAACAGCTGTGAGGTACACAACGCATAAGCCAAATACTGACTATAAAAACTTTACATAAGTCAGTATTTTGACTTACACTCCACTGACCAAGTTCGAGGCAATGATTCGACACGTGCTTCGTTCACCTTGCTTAACTCTGCTTGGCTTGATTCACAAGTCACAACTTGATTCAAGTTGGGGAGTAGACCAACTCCCAGAACTTGAAGCAGGTATCACATTCCGCCTGTAGTGTAAACACGCTCTATAGCAACATAACACCATGCCTAACCTTCCCTAGTTCTAACTATACATAAACCCACAATATATAAGATTAATTTACACTTCAGAAAAAAAACTTTCGTTATTATTCTGTTTAATAATATACTGATTCATCGTGTCAGTCGGTTTTCGGCTAAGTAAACAAAACTGCCCTACGTCAACACTTGACCTGTTGCTGAGGCTGGAGGATGGGTTAGATGTGTAATTAACATTGCAATTACCAATGGTCTATGGTAATTAACAGGTCTAGGTAATTAACATTACCTAGACCTCAAGGTCCTAAACCTAGACCTTAATATCACGCGTTATTTTGTAGCTGTTTTTTTAAACATTCAGCAAATGGGGTATTGGTCAATCAAGTAGTGGAATAGAGGGTCATCTAGTAATTCTTGTTCTGTAGACATTCAAGTTATTATTAACTTGGGAAGACGTAATATTGGGATAAAACGACCGTCATTGTTAGTGTCTGGGTTAACTGTTGTGGTTGGTAAGCTGCTCAACTACTGTACCTGCCCCAGTCAGTTACTGCAGTTAGCATGCTTCTTAACATGTAACAAAAAAATGTCTTTTTAGTGTTAATTGACAATTAGGACCACAAATTAGAGGAAATATGCAGTATTGGAGTTTATCGTCATTTTTAAAATAAATTTAACATGTCTGGTAATTATGTAGGCATAGGCATATATGTATATATGCCTATGCCCTTTGGTCCACCAGCAACAGCCTGGTGGACCAAACTCTCACAAGTCAAGTCTGGCCTCGGGCCGGGCTTGGGGAGTAGAAGAACTCCCAGAACCCCATCAACCAGGTATCATATATGTATATACAGTACTGTATATATATATATCAATTTTCTGAGCGCGAATCAGTCTGCGGTTATGGTGCGCCATATTTAACTGTCCGACCGCATACCCAGGTGCGGTCGATGTTGACAGGTGCAGCATGTGACGCATTGGTAGTACACCGGAGGGCTGTGTTATAACAGGTGTAACGTGTGTGTGTGTGTGTCATGTGTGTGTGTGTGTCATGTGTGTGTGTGTCGTGTGTGTGTGTGTGTCATGTGTGTGTGTGTGTGTCATGTGTGTGTGTGTGTCATGTGTGTGTGTGTCATGTGTGTGTGTGTGTCATGTGTGTGTGTGTGTGTGTCATATGTGTGTGTGTCATGTGTGTGTGTCATATGTGCGTGCGAGCGCGCGGGCGTTACCAGTCCTGGTCATATTGGAAACAGCCGTTTATGAGCTACACACAGGTGCAATTATTCGCATATACATTTGTTCTTGTTATACTTGTATCATCCTCGTCCGATTGATTTATTAATTGAGGCAACTTTATAAGCTTTCTGTATTCATTATTTACAAGTAACTTATGATTTAGAAGATATTTTGTTGGAATTGTTAAAATAGACAGTAACTAACTTTATCATAACTAAAAAACAATATGGATTATATGACTATACAATTGAGATCTTCAACCATCTGTACACGTTTCAATATTATATTTAAACAAAGGAGCACATTGGAACATTAATTATTGAATAATTGAATATTGAATAATTGAATAATTGAATAATTATTGAACAATTGAATAATTGGAACATTTTGACCCTTAAAATTACTAACTATACATTAATGAGGTACATAATGTGTGGAGACCCAGACATTATGGGAGCTGGTCGGCCGAGCGGACAGCACGCTGGACTTGTGATCCTGTGGTCCCGGGTTCGATCCCGGGCGCCGGCGAGAAACGATGGGGAGGGTTTCTTTCACCCTATGCCCCTGTTACATAGCAGTAAATAGGTACCTGGGAGTTAGTCAGCTGTCACGGGCTGCTTCCTGGGGGTGGAGGCCTGGTCGAGGACCGGGCCGCGGGGACACTAAAGCCCCGAAATCATCTCAAGATAACCTCAAGATAACCACCTTCACCATCACTCACTTTAGCTGTGTGTGTGTGTTGTCATGTGTAGAGGTGTGGTGACAGGCACGGCCCGAGCCTTAAGGCTATGGAGACTTGGGAATTTGTTGTGGACTTGGCTCTCTGCTAAGGCAAGTAAGTTTGGGGTTTCAGTGCATGGGCCGGGAGGAAGTATTGACAAGTCGACCTAGTCAGGCGTCACTACTGAGAACTGAGGGAGAATGGCTGCTACATCTCAAAGTCATTTGGCTGGATATCAATGAGCCAGTTTACAACAAGCTGTTGAGGTTATAATCTGGAATTAACCAAAGTATATGAGGTTATAATCTGGAATTAACCAAAGTATATGAGGTTATAATCTGGAATTAACCAAAGTATATGAGGTTATAATCTGGAATTAACCAAAGTATATGAGGTTATAATCTGGAATTAACCAAAGTATATGAGGTTATAATCTGGAATTAACCAAGAGAAATAGAAACGAACACAATGAGCTCAGTGAGATGTGAACTGGTATACCAGGGCGAAAGTCACACTGCCGTGTGTGTGTGTGAAATATATCTCACCAGTTTAAGACATAAGTCGAGCTAATAGTTGCATGATTGTGGCACCTTAGCATTGTAAGACTGGTTGGGATAACTTTTCCAATGGAGGATGTTTCACTAATGCAGTGTTAGGAAGGACATTACCAGATCATTTGAAACTTCCCCATTGGTACAAGTGAAATAGAAGCGGTTACATCCATCTTGTTAGAGTCTTTGGTTTAGTAGGAATCAGTTGGGAGTGATTCTCTCCTAACACACTGAAATCCCAATCAAATGAACGAAATCGACCATGTCGTAGCTCAGTCGATTAAGGCAGCGTCTGAGATGCTCTCAGACGCAGGCTCGAATCCTCGTCACGGCCCTTGTGGATTTGTTCATTCGATTCTCTGCTAGTTACAGCACTGGAACTGACCTGGAAGAAGGAGTGCGCGTAGAGCTCAATACCGTCCTTGAACCAGGTGATGACTGGACGAGGCTCTCCCTCGGCCTTGCACATGAAGACAATCTTGCGTCCCAACACGTACTCAGACTCGAAGTGGGACCACAGTGTGATTTTGGCTCCCTGCGGAAACAGTCATCTCAGTTGGGCCACCTGTATGACATCTTTAAATGGATTAAAAACAAAATATCAGGGCGTCGAATATGTTACATCAGTGCAGGCGAGGAGTCACAATAACGTGGCTGAAATATGTTGACCAGACCACACACTAGAAGGTGAAGAGACGACGACGTTTTGGTCCGTCCTGGACCATTCTCAAGTCGATTGTGAATGGTCCAGAACGGACCGAAACGTCGTCATCCCTTCACTTTCTAGTGTGTGGTCTGGTCAACATGTTCAACATCAGTATTTTGTGAGCGACATTTTGTGTGTGAAGTAAAGAGAGAGAGCAGAGAGAATGAACAAATCCACAAGGGCCGTGACGAGGATTCGAACCTACGTCCGAGAGCATCCCAGACGTAGCTTCGAATCCTCATCACGGCCCTTGTGGATTTGTTCATTTGATGCATCACGCTATTGTAATTTCTGTGTGTAAAGAGCAGAGAGAAGCTTGTGGAGCACTCTGAGACACCACTTAGGGCCCCCCCCCCACACTAAAGAGGATGTAAGTTTTAATTAAAGCAGAACACATAGCAAAAGAATAGAGAAGTGTTGTAGCGCCAGTTTCAGGCGATCAGTCAGACTCTGATGTGCTACTTACAGGGGGTGTAATGGACACTGTAGTAACATGGGCTACCTTGTGGGTAGTTTACTTACTACTTATAGTGGTTACAGATGGATAGTTTACTAGGAATGGTTATTATTGTTAGCGTTGATAATTATGTTGTGGCCTTGTTAATTGTGCTCGTTGACTCTGCACTCAGCGTACTTCTGACAAGGAGTGTTGAGTGCGTCCGCACGTGTGTGTGTGTTGAGTGCCTCCGCACGTGTGTGTGTTGAGTGCCTCCGCACGTGTGTGTGTGTTGAGTGCCTCCGCGTGTGTGTGTGTGTTGAGTGCCTCCGCACGTGTGTGTGTTGAGTGCCTCCGCACGTGTGTGTGTGTTGAGTGCGTCCGCACACGTGTGTGTTGAGTGCCTCCGCACGTGTGTGTGTTGAGTGCCTCCGCACGTGTGTGTGTTGAGTGCCTCCGCACGTGTGTGTGTTGAGTGCCTCCGCACGTGTGTGTGTTGAGTGCCTCCGCGCGTGTGTCATGAAGACTAAAGTCAGTTATTATAACTAACTTGGGGTCTGAAATTACCTTGCTCACCTTTATTTACAAATGACAAATTACCTGATTTGTTCCATGGAGCCCCGGGGTTGTGTTTTCCTTTGTAAACAAAGCTGGATCTTTTACAACTTGTTGATTCCCAATATTACAGGTATTTATCTTGTTTACAAATGTTTACAGATGGAGTTTACATTGTCATAGACCATCATACAAGCAGACACTCCACTGGCCCCTCCCCTAAACTCTGGGCACTCCCCCCCCCCTTCACCCCACACCTTGTGTTATCTTGAGGTTATCTTGAGATGATTTCGGGGCTTTTAGTGTCCCCGCGGCCCGGTCCTCGATCAGGCCTCCACCCCCAGGAAGCAGCCCGTGACAGCTGACTAACACCCAGGTACCTATTTTACTGCTAGGTAACAGGGGCATAGGGTGAAAGAAACTCTGCCCATTGTTTCTCGCCGGCGCCTGGGATCGAACCCGGGACCACAGGATCACAAGTCCAGTGTGCTGTCCGCTCGGCCGACCGGCTCCCCATCGCACGTGCTCGGCCGCTCGGCCGACCGGCGAGCCACATACTACACACACGCGGCGGCAGTGTGTGCAGGTCCATCAGGGGCCGCAGGGATGAAGAGTAATTTCAGTATGAACAAATCCACAAGGGCCGTGACGAGGATTCGAACCTGCGTCCGGGAGCATCCCAGAGACACTGCCTTAATCGACTGAGCTACGACAGTGTCTGGGATGCTCCCGGACGCAGGTTCGAATCCTCGTCACGGCCCTTGTGGATTTGTTCATTTGATGCATCACGTTAGTGTGATCTCTGTGTGTGATAATTTCAGTATGTTGGAAAGTTGACTTGGAGCTAGTGAGGGGCGGTGTTGTCAAGGGGGGGAGGGGGGAGTGTCGCTTGTGGACCACCACCACCTCTTTCATGTAGGGGGGGGGGGAGGGACTGTTTCCCCCCTATACCCCCCCCCCCCGAGCAGGCGAGTGTGTCTTATGGTCAAAGAGTCAAAGAACAGGGGGTCAAAGAACAGGGGGTCAAAGAACAGGGGGTCAAAGAACAGGGTGGTCAAAGAACAGGGGGTCAAAGAACAGGGTGGTCAAAGAACAGGGGGCTCAAAGAACAGGGGGTCAAAGAACAGGGAGGTCAAAGAACAGGGGGTCAAAAAACAGGGCGGTCAAAGAACAGGGGGTCAAAGAACAGGGCGGTCAAAGAACAGGGGGGCCAAGGAACAGGGGGGGCCAAGGAAACAGGGGGGGTCAAAGAACAGGGGGTCAAAGAACAGAGGGTCAAAGAACAGGGGGGTCAAAAACAGGGCGGTCAAAGAACAGGTGGGTCAAAGAACAGGGGGGTCAAATAACAGGAGGTCAAAGAACAGGGGGTCAAAGAACAGGGGGCCAAGGAACAGGGGTGGCCAAGGAACAGGGGGTCAAAGAACAGGGGGGTCAAAGAACAGAGGGTCAAAGAACAGGGGGGGTCAAAGAACAGGAGGTCAAAGAACAGGGGGGTCAAAGAACAGGGGTCAAAGAACAGGAGGTCAAAGAAGGGGTCAAGAACAGGGGGTCAAAGAGCAGTGGGGGTCAAAGAACAGGGGGGTCAAAGAACAGGGGGGTCAAAGAACAGGGGGTCAAAGAACAGGGCGGTCAAAGAACAGGGGGTCAAAGAACAGGGGGCCAAGGAACAGGGGGGTCAAAGAAACAGAGGGGTCAAAGAACAGAGGGTCAAATAACAGGGGGGTCAAAGAACATGTGGGTCAAAGAACAGGGGGGCTCAAGAGACCGGGGGGGGGGGTCAAAGAACAGGGGGTCAAAGAACAGGGGGGTCAAAGAACAGGGGGGTCAAAGAACAGGGGGGTCAAAGAACAGGGGGGTCAAAGAACAGGGGGTCAAAGAACAGGGGGTCAAAGAACAGGGGGGTCAAAGAACAGGGGGGGTCAAAGACACAGGGGGTCAAAGAACAGGGTCAAAAGAAGAACAGGGGGTCAAACCAGGTGGAAGAACAGGGGTCAAAGAACACTGGTCAAAGAACAGGGGGGGAACAGGGGGTCAAGAACAGGGGGGTCAAAGAACAGGGGAACAGGGGGTCAAAGAACAGGGGGGTCAAGAACAGGGGGTCAAAGAACAGGGTGGGGGTAGGGTCAAAGAACAGGGGGTCAAAGAACAGGGAACAGGGGTCAAAGAACAGGGGGGGTCAAAGAACAGGGGGTCAAAGAAACAGGGGGGTCAAAGAACAGGGGGTCGAAGAACAGGGGGTCAAAGAACAGGTGGTCAAAGAACAGGGGGGTCAAAGAAACAGGGGGGTCAAAGAACAGGGGGTCAAAGAAAGGGGGGTCAAAGAACATGGGGGTCAAAGAACCGGAGGTCAAGAATAGGGGGGTCAAAAGAACAGGGGGTCGAAGAACATGGGGTCGAAGAACAGGGGGTCAAAGAAACGGGGGTCCAAAGAACAGGGGTCAAAGAACAGGGGTCAAAGAACAGGGGTCAAAGAACGGGGGGTCAAAGAACAGGGGGGTCAAAGAAAACAGGGGGTCAAAGAAACATGGGGTCAAAGAACCGAGGGTTCAAAGAACCGGGGGGTCAAAGAACAGGGGGGTCAAAGAACAGGGGGGTCAAAGAACAGGGGGTCAAAGAACAGGGGGTCAAAGAAACGAGGGGTCAAAGGGGGGTCAAAGAACAGGGGGTCAAAGAACAGGGGGTCAAAGAAACAGGGGTC